GCAGACCTCTTGCATGATGTATTCTTATTTTTCTTTACTTTCACTGTTCAAATAGGCCTCAACTGTAGGTCCTAAACTGTCCAAAATAGGCCCTACATTGTGACAGTGGCTATTACCTATCAGAAATGAGAATCCAGACATCTCAGTGCTCACAACAGCAAAACGATGATTCTCTCCCTTGCAGAATCCTCGAAACGCTGAGCTTCAATTTAAAGATCAAACTCTGTCTTGTTTAGGCCTAAGCACATGCAAGATTAATACTGCAATTTTAAAGAGCTCTAATTTGGAGATTCTAAGATCATTTTAGGATTAGTCCGTGAAATCAGGGAATTGCTTTTTTCTGGAGAGAAAAGAGCAGAAATGCATTTATGTGGGTACAGGGTTTTATTTGAACAGTGGTCAGCCTCCAGCCAGTGTGGCTTTTTTTAAGATGTTGGGGGTAGGAGTTTATTTATTTATTTTTGCTGTGTTGGGTCTTCGTTTCTGTGCGAGGGCTTTCTCTAGTTGCGGCAAGCGGGGCTCACTCTTCATCGCAGTGCGCAGGCCTCTCACTATTGCGTCCTCTCTTGTTGTGGAGCACGGGCTCCAGACATGCAGGCTCAGTAGTTGTGGCTCACGGGCCTAGTTGCTCCGCGGCATGTGGGATCCTCCCAGACCGGGGCTCGAACCCATGTCCCCTGCATCAGCAGGCAGATTCTCAACCACTGCACCACCAGGGAAGCCCCAGTGTGGCTTTTAGAAGGGTTATAACCGGGCTTCCCTGGTGGCGCAGTGGTTGAGAGTCCGCCTGCCGATGCAGGCGACACGGGTTCGTGCCCCGGTCCGGGAAGATCCCACATGCTGCAGAGCGGCTGGGCCCGTGAGCCATGGCCGCTGAGCCTGTGCGTCCGGAGCCTGTGCTCCGCAACGGGAGAGGCCACAACGGTGACAGGCCCGCCTACCGCAAAAATAAAAAAAATAAAATAAAATAAAAATAAGGGTTATCACCTACAGTGAGGCATCAGGCCAGGTGGTGTACATGTGTCATCTGTCCAGCTCTATTGGCTACAGAAGCATCTCAATGCCCACACCCCCGCCCTTATGCACCAGACTGGGCCCACTCCCCAAAAGCATCTCCAGGTATCTGCCGGTCAGCTTTCTTCTAAGATGCTAAGAAACACTGGGGCTGCATGAGAACCGTGTGTTTATGGCGGGGAGGAAAGTCGAGCATGAATGCACAAGCTCTACCACGTGAAGTACAGCCTTACTCCTTGTACTGAAGGAATCAAAGGAAGAACAGGAGGTGTTGATTGCTCAGCTCTGTATCCACCTGCCACAGGATCTTGATGTCAGCAAATTGCAGAGAATTCCACTCGAAAGCTTTATCCATCTTCAGTGACTTGCAGTTGGGCATGAGAAGGAGAGATACATTAGCTCTGTATGTGTGTGTCTGTGTTTGTGTGTGTGTGTGTTGTGCTGGGGCAGGGCCCAGGCTTTTGAACGACACCACGCAGCCTCAAACTCCAAGAGCGTGACACAGAAACTGTGAGCATTTTACTACAGAGCAAGGTAGGAAATCCCTGAATGCGATTTGAAAGCTCCAGGCTACGCTCTTGTTCATCATGAATGCAGAGCTCCCACCTAGGTGACCTCCCACTGACTGTCAGAGACTTGAACCACATCCACTCTAGGTTATAAGCAGTAGAGGAGGAGGGCATGGCACAAATCATATGGAATGTGCCTCAAGTAGGCCTTTCCTCCAATTTCTCAGAAAAAAATGGAGTGAACAGACGGCCAAGGCCGCTGAAGGGCTAAAGCAACAGCCTCGTCTCTCCCCATTAAAGCCTTTAAAAGCTTAATATAGTTTTCATTTTTTCAGCATTCATTCAAATCTAAAAGTCTCCCACCTTTCCTCCAAATCCCCTCCCCCTTGAATTGGCTGCTCTAGGAGCATCTTCCCTGCTATTACTAGTGGATAATTGCTTAACATTTTCTAGAGGTAATTAACTTTGCCTTTGAAATGAAAGAAATCCCTAAATTGAGCAATACGATGAAAGCCATTCTTTCATGTAATTTAGTCTCATCAGCCAATACCAGCCATTAAGTACATCAATTTCTAGCTCAAAGGCAGTGCTGAAGAATAAGGAGTGGCAATATTTTAAAGAAAAAACTCAAGGTCTTAACACTGTCAATCTCAATTTCTTCAGAACAGGGTTCCCGAAGTGACCGCCTGATGGCAAGAGGCCTGTGTTTCTGTTTAAGCTTCACACAGTGACCTTGAGAGAGGGCATCTGTTAGAAGGAATGCATGTCAAGCTGACAGCAAGAAGCTAGGTGTTGCAAGCATACCTGAAGGCTCTGGAGGTTCACTGGGGACTGAGAATTCTGTGTGAAAACTGAATTTCTATTAACATTTTTAGAAAAACCAGTCTGTCATATTGCAAAGAGCTCTGATATCCTACATAGTTTGTCAATCCCGCCAGCATTTGTGTGCACGCCTGTTTCAGGATTAACTAGATAAGCATCTCCTTTAAGATCATAGGTTCTGGGGTTGGGAGACCCTGCAGACAGCATTTTGTCTCCCATCTCCACCTCAGGTTGTGTCCAACTGATTTCAGACTGATGGATATCAGAATTTTCCTCTGGCCAAAAGAAAGATTTCCAAGATGGAGACTAAACAACATCCCCTGGTATTTTGTTCCAAAGGTTGGGAAAGTTCTGTGCCAGGAAACCACTTTGTGGTTGCATTAGACGCTCTCCGCCGCCCTGCGGTTAGGGGAAGTCAATTTACCGCAGGGCTTTTATCACCCAGCGGCTGCATTTAAGCTTTCTGGGTGACCCTGGCCCACACCCCAAACCAGAGGAAGGCCCTGAGGAGCTTTTTAAGGACCATCCAGAAACCCTCACAGATGCAGGGGATCCATGCCAGATCCAGATCTTCAGAAATAGAGATTTAAAAAAAAAAAAAAAAAAAAAGGTGTGATGATCACTTTGGCGCCCTCTAGGGGCAGCTTATTGCCATCTTGTGATTGTGAAATAGCAAGTTTGGGGGCTTTCAGGTCAGTATAGAGACAAACATCTTGTTAGCTATTTCCTCATATGGCTTACCAGTACCCTTTCCTACATTCTTTTTGTTGATTATTTTACATGACCACAGGATCCCTTTTCTCATGGAAACTTCATCATAAAATCCCGTACCAAAGGGGAAAAAGAAAACCAACAACAACAAAAAAATTAAAGCCAGGGATTTTGATTGTGTCTATCAGTTCTGTTTATTTTGATGCAAGCGTTGAAGACAGCTCCTCAGCCATTCTTTTTAAATGTTTCCCATTCACAAACATGTTATTTGAGTTGGTTTTCATCCCCCTTTAACAAACGGGGACCTCTGGCATGATGCATAATATTTAAGAGCACGGAGGTTAGCGTCTGACTGACTGCAATTCCCAGCACCACTACTTAACTGTCTCTGGGTAAAAGCTACTTAACTTCTCTGTGCTTCAGCTTCTGCAAGTGTCACATCACTCAAATACGAGTGTCTTCCTCTTCTGATCGCTATGAAAATTAAATGGAATAATGCCTATAAAGCAAGTCATCATCCTTCACCTGACTCCAGTAAGTCTAGGTGCTCAAGGCAGAGAGTGGAGAACACTCAGGGGCCACATAACGAAAGCATCCGCCTCAAAGGGCGGTTGAAGGCATTAAGTTTAGTTAATGAAGGCAAAAAACTGCAATCATGTTTAGTCCCTAGTGAACAATTGAATTTGTTTGCTGTTGTTGTTTTCCTTGTTAATATCTCCATTTTAGTGGAGCAAACCTAAAACATCCAGAGGTTAAAAAACTGGCTTAGGAAACAGACAGTAAGCAGTGGAGTCAGAAATCCATCTACCTCCATGCTCCGTGCTCTCTAGCATTATGCCCTCTCTCTGTGCAGTAAGCGTTACTGTCAGTATTACTTTGACAGGAGGAATACGTTTCAAGTAGGCCTGCTGCCACCTTACTGAAGAGAAGTTTCTAATCCATCGGCCTGCGAAGTGTACGTCCTGCAGCATGAACCTACTGACACTTAGACACTAAAAATGCAATCATCTAGCAACCAGTCTTCTGGTGGCCTAGGGCAGAAATCCTGAACATTTTTCTTTTAGAGTAAGAAGTTATTTTCCTGTTGTTAAAATCTTTGAGTTGATCTGGGAGAGGGGAGACGGTTGATAAGGAATTTAAAGAAGGAGTATCGAGAGGAAAGCAGGAACATGTTCTTACGGAGTCTTGTCACCAAGCTGAGCTCCGAGTCAAACACCCTGGCAACTTCGGACCTTTCCCTAGAAACGGTTCCAGGCCACTCCACCTTCTGACTACTACATCAGAGGTGTCTAGCAGAGGACACTCCTGTTCCCCTGAGAAGTGGTTTGAGAATTTTCATTTCTGTTGAACTCGGATAGAGATATTCTATGCTTACCATCATTAGTGTTTCTAATGCAGTTATGATAAATATGCTCCCTGACGGATGGTTTTCTTTTTCTTTTTCTTTTTTTTTTGCGATACACGGGCCTCTCACTCTTGTGGCCTCTCCCGTTGCAGAGCAGAGGCTCCGGACGCGCAGGCTCAGCGGCCATGGCTCACGGGCCCAGCCGCTCCGCGGCATGCGGGATCCTCCCAGGCCGGGGCACGAACCCGCGTCCCCTGCATCGGCAGGCGGACTCTCAACCACCGCGCCACCAGGGAAGCCCCATGGTTTTCTTTTTCTCCTCCTTTTCCTTTTTCTCCTTCCCTCTCCCCTTCCCTTTCCCCTCCCCCCTTGGTCTTCTTATTCTTCTATTGAGATATAATTGACACACTGCACTGTATAAATTTAAGATGTACAGCATAATCATTTCACTTACATACATCATGAAATGAAAACCACAATAAGTTTAGTGAACATTCAGCATCTCATGTAGATACAAAATAAAGAAAAATATATTATTTTCCTTGTGATGAGAACTCTTAGGTTCACTTTCTTAACAACTTTCATATATAACATACATCAGTGTTAATTATATTCATGTTGTACATTACATCCCTAGTACTCATTTATCTTGTATCTGGACGTTTGTGCCTCCTGACTGCCTTCATCCAATTCCCCCTCTCCTCACCCCCGCCTCTGGTAACCACAAATCTGATCTCTTTTTCTGTGAGTGTATTTGTTTGTTTTTGAAGTATAACTGACCTACAACACTATGTTAGTTCCTGGTGCACAACACAGTGATTCAATGTTATTTCTATACATTTCAGAAAGGATCACCACTACGTCTAGTTACCATCTGCCTGGTTTTCTCCACTATCTTTGTCAGCATTTTACCAGCTTTGCTCGCTAAGCTGCTAAACCTCAGAGCCTTCTCTAGTCAAGGATTTCCCATTGATTTTAGTTTCCAGAAATAGATTTCCAATGGGGCAATGAAACACTTATCACTAGATCATTACCATTGGTGAAAAGTCTCCTGCTATTCTGCTTATAGTCTACAACTGCTGAGGCTGTGGAAACTCAAATCTCTGAGGTCGTCTTATTTTGTCTGAGGGCAGAGATAGTTTGTTGTTTTAGGGAAGGCACTCACTCCTTAGACATTTTCTAGCTATTGGGCAGGAAAAAAAGAACTCTTGGAAATTACTAAGTTTTTCTGATGTTAAGGTGCAAAAAAAAATCTGTACATAAAAGAGGTGCTTTCTTCAGAGATATTGCTGAGATGTACGCTTACCTTTGAGTTCAATTTGGCCATGAGACTTCCTAGAACACTTTTCTACCTTCTATCCCTTATTTAGGCAAGGTGATAAAATACATCATAGGTTAGTTTAATCTTTTTCGCATGCTGTATGAGAAGGAAAGAGGCCCACTAAAGAGAATCACTAATAACAGTACAAGCAATGAGACAACAATGATAATTCCACTTGGCATTTATTTTTATATTGGTGTTTACTATGAAAAGTTCAAGTGTTGTATGTCAGGTCGTAGATGGACTCTCAGGTGTGTTATTGCTCCCATTAACAGATGGAAAAACTGAAATTGTAAAGGTATCTGTCTCATTAAAGGGCTCAGAATAAATAATTCAGTGGACCTTGTTATGCAGTTTGAAGTAAGTAAATGGCTGGGGGCAATCTGGAGAAGCTAGAAGAACTATATGGAAAAGAGAATGGGAATTGAGGTTGGGAGTTGAGAGTGAGGGAGAGTTCTAGAAAATATTAGAGAGTAGTGAGTATGCAAAGTAGTGAAGATAGGGAAGAATGGATTTTTATGTTTTGCTGCTTTTCTATGGCATAAAAACGTACTTCCTCTACCCCAGCCCCGCCTTTGACTGCGTCCTGAGAGATAAAGATATGAATTTGTTCAGATTATATGTTCGTTGCTTGTCGGACTGTGTCCTATGTGAGATGGAATCATGATGCTTCCCAGCCTCTTGTCTGTCTGGCACAACCTTGTTCTGTCTCTGAAATGATCCCATGTGTTAGGGTGTTTCAACATGGAAATGCTCCCACCAGAAGCTGAGGAGGAAAGGAAATAGGAACTTTCCTTGAGTCTGGAGGGTTAGAGGAGCGTCCTGTTCAAGGGAAGCAGGACTTTTTAGAACTTTTCCCACCTCCTGCCCTTCACCAGCCCTGTAGCGTCCACTCCAGCTGAGGTTTTCAGAGCCTTACACTTAACCCTGCCCACACAAAGCCTGCACTTAAGTCTCTATCTCCTGTCTTCCTTTACATACTCCAGGCTGTAATTAACCTCTGTCTTTCAAAATATCTCTGCCTTCCGCTCTCTGTGTTCCATAAACACTCCCATGCCCTCATGATATCTTAAATACCTCCTAGAGAATCAAGTGTCTCCAAACTTTTCACTTGGTCAACTAGGTGATGATACTGTAACTATTAGAGGCCCTTCAGGATAAGGAACATGTATGGGTGCAGGGAGTGAATTTTTCAGATGTGCATTTTACAGTCCCTCTAAAACATCCAGGAAGAACTGTTCTCCCATTAGAGCCTTTTACTGAGGGATGAAGTTAAAACAGAACAGTCTGGGCTTCAGACACCAGACAAGAATGTGACAGAAGGGGAATACAGTAGCAGCAATGGGGTCCCCCTTACGACCAGCCAAGAAGAAGATGTGAAGGGAGGTAGAGTGGCTTCAGGGAGAAAAGGGGGTTTGTGACCCCAGCATCTTTGCTTTAAGAATGAAACCTTGCTCCCAAACATTTTCTCCATGCTGCTTAAAAGTCTACCAATTAGATTAATTTGAGTTAATATTCAAATATCTCAAAATGAGACCATCGTTCTTTCATCTCTTCCTGTAAGTTGGTTTCATAAACACTTGTTTCCTTCCTTGCTTTATCAAGGTTTCTAAGAGGGTGAAACAGAACCACACTCTTGGGACCCTAGATTATAAGACCAACACAAAAGTGGTGGGGTGAACAATCACTGAACAGAAAAAGATGCTGATAACTTTTGTTCTGGTATCAACCCAGAGCCACGAGGCCAAAGGAAGGCCAGGCCACTGATGTGAACCTTGCATCTGAGCCCTGTTTTCAGGCATTACCTCCAGGGTTTCCAAGGTTCCAGACTTGTGTTCTCTTACTGTAGAGTCCCTAGCTGTGGGCTCCAAGTTAGTCCTAGACATTGGCAAAAACAATACAAATGCCATGTGTGTCCCCCTATTTATCCTGGGGGCTGTTTTCAAATTTAATCCAGCTCACTATGGCCCCAGGAAGCATTCTGTTCTCTCTCCCATCTTCAAGGTCAAGAACTTGAGTCCTGATTGTTGAGAAAAGACAGACTTCTCCTAGGAAAGAAACATCTTTGTTAGAGAAGTCTGTGTCAGATTATTTTGTCTGTTAACAGCAGAACCAGAAGATAATGAGGACTATTTGAAAGAGAGTAGCATTGACAAATGGTACACATTTCTGAACTCATTTCAAAGTACAAACTCCTATTTCATTTCGTTTTCTAAGGCTCTGAATAACTTATAGACAATTTAATTGCCTGTATTTGGAATAGGGAATTCCTAAAATGCTGAGTATAATATTTGGATTTAAAGAAAAAGACACCATAATAGAGGCCATTGTTCAAGTAAGTAGAGACAGGTTCATGTATTTCAAACCTTGGATAAAATATAAAGAAGATCATTGAGCTCTAATTTGAAAGAATTCCACTGAAAGCCCCAGAAAACAATCCACTGTGAGAATATGAGACAGAATCATAATATTTACTGGACAATTGTTTGCTAAGAAGCATTTATTTTATATCACTTTTTAACAAGACCAAACTGTCAAACTGTTTAAAATTCCATTGGAAAAATGTGAATTATCACAAAATTGTTTACTTTTTTATCCTTTCATGTATATTGGATTACTCATGGAAGACAATGGAAAGAATCTGAGAAATCCTAGTTTTAGGAGTAACTCAGACTGCATTTCAGAAATATTATAGACTGTGTAAACCAATGCGACTTTTGGACATGTATTAACATAGCTGAAATACTATTGGTGCTGTGTAAGGCATAAAGAAATGAAAAACTCCAGCATTATCATCAGAGATGATCCTTTGGAAGATGATGGTGCAAGTTAAACATTCTTCCCGTACACATAGTGATCATAGGAAAAAAAGAATCATCTTTATCTTGTTTTGCTAAATACCATTAGCTCCAGCAGCTATGATTCATAACTCATACAAATAATACAGGTCCTTTTAAACTGGCTCTGGAATTATGGAATTATCACCTATGAATGGATTGCAATCATATATATCCTAGATCATTCACCAAACATACATCCATGTAAAATCATGTTTAGAACAAGGCTGAATTTTCTTGGTATTAAAATCACTTTTGATTATTCATTCTAATACCAAATGGGCATTTCCACCTTTTTCTATATCTGAGTTTCAGAGACGTAGATAACTTATAATGATGCAACGGTTCTTAGCTGCATGAGGATCACCTGGAGGGCTTGTCACAGCAGATGGCTGGGCCCGCCTCCAAGTTTCTGAGTCGGTACAACTAAGGTGGGGCAGAGAATGTGCTTCTAACAAGTTCCATGGGATGCTGATGCTGCATTCCTGGGAACCACACTTTGAGTACCACTGCAATAAAGGAATCTGGGTAGCAGAGCTAAAAGCAATTTTAGGAAAAAAGTCTTTATGTATGGGTCTGGCTGGTATTGTAGAAAATGAAAAGAAATCCAAGCTTTCCCCTAAAGGCCCAGCCTCTCTGTGGCCTCCACCTCCACACAGAGCCCTCTGCCTCCTGTTTTTCCAGTTCTGTCTACCTACCTCCAGTTCTCAAAAGCGCTTGCAGATCTTGCTACCTTAATTTACCCTAAAATGTAACTTAATCACAGCAGTTAGTCCTCTCAGAGAGCTTTGCATTTTGAAGTGGATCAAAACTGTAAACACAATAAATGAAATCTGAACAATGAAAAGGCATTAATTTTAAATGGGAAAAGCTTTGTTACATCTTCACTCTCTTGCCTTCATTACACCAGACTGACCTAAAAGTCAAATCTCTCCATGCTACTTTCTTACTCAAAGTCTTCAATGACTGTCCTTCTCCTACAGGCAAATTTTAAATGCTTAGCCAGACTTCCAGGCCTTTCATTTCAGTTATTATATTGTTCAACTCTGTTTGTTCTTTAAATCTTCTAGCTCATTGGTAAACATTTCTTGTATCTTCTCAGTCTGTGCCTCTGTTCTTTTTCTGAGATCTTGGATCATCTTTACTTTACTATCATTACTCTGAATTCTTTTTCAAGTAGATTGCCTATCTCCATTTCACTTAGTTGTTCTTCTTGGGTTTTAACTTGTTCCTTTGCCTGGAACATATTTCTCTGCTGTCTCATTTTGTCTAACTCTCTGTGTTTGTGGTCTCTGTTCTGCAGACTGCAGGACTGTAGTTCCTCTTGCTTCTGGTGTCTGCCCCCTGGTGGGTGAGATTGGTCCAAGGGCTTGTGCAGGCTTCCTGGTGGGTGGGACTTGTGCCTGCCCACTGGTGGGTAGAGCTGGGGTTTGTCCCTCTGGTGGACAGGGCCGTGTCAAGAGGTGTGTTTAGAGGCAGCTGTGGGTTCAGTACGACTTTAGGCGGCTTGTTTGTTGATGCGTGGGGGCTGTGTTCCCACCCCATTGGTTGTTTGGCCTGAGGTGTCCCAGCACTGGAGGCTGCAGGCTGTTGGATGGGGCCACGTCTTATTTACTTAGGTATTTTTCTCCAACTTGCATATATATACTCTTTTAGGCATGTTTTTAGACAATAGCCAAGAAACTTTTTTTTTACTATAATCTTTGCAGTTACCTTTTAGCAATTGGTATGTACTTTGTCCTTGCAAACAGTCTAGGACTGAGGCAGCATCTGGTAGGGTTTTTCTGGCCAGGCAAGGAGAAAGAGAGCTAGTTGTTCCTGACTTTCTCCCTAGATTGCTGCTTCTCAGTCTTTCTCTCTTTACCACTGTTTGCTCTCTTGAAGCTGATGGGCTTCCATCCCTCACAATGCCTCCAGCCCTGTGGACATCATGAATGAGCTGGGACAAATGGGTCTGAACCTAAATCTCAAAAGGCAAGAACATCCCCATGTTAGATTCATCTTCAGACAGTTACATCCACCAGCTGCTCTGAAATCAAATCCTGGCTGCCTAAACCAAGCCACTAGTTATGGAGTGACAGGGAGCACATGCAGAAGTCTGCATTGAACCAGGAACCCATCTCAATAGAGTGGTCACTTTGTCCATTGCTTGGATGTGAATGGTTCTGTTCTACTCTGAACCTGTTGGGGTGGACTTTTTATTCCTTTACGCTGAGCTTTGTCACCATGTGTTCCCAATCTGAGCCCTGTTTGCTCAGACTCTTAATTCGTTTAGGAGCCTTGGAAGCTGCTTTTCTAGAGTTAATCTGGACTCGCTGGAAGAGAGTTCAACAGGTTCTATAGTTTATGCCAATCTAATACCTGAACCCGCTCTCTCACTGCCATACCCGGGGTGTGTATTACCTTTCCCTGAATACTACCGAGGATGGAAAATTAACTGCTGTCTGAGGTCACCCACTTAATCCTGAGTAGCTCTTTTAGAAATATCTTCTTTTCATAAACCAGATGTCAGCTAAAGTCAACTCGCCCTTTTAGATTTAAATGAAATTGTTTTGAATTCTCATGCCTTATGAGGTAAGCCATTTAGAGACTTTTTCAAGCTCTGTTAATCTTTGGCATGTGGACAGGAGGTTGTTTACAGTTGTCCTGGCCACCTCTGGCTAAGGCCTGATCACTCCACGTATGGCCCCTCTCTTGTCTATGCCTGGTCTCCCTTCTGTTTTCCCTGTCCCTCCACACCAAGCGGTCACCTTGTTCCTGTTTCAGCATTCCCCTTGAGCCCGTCTCAAACACAAGGCTGTTTAAGTGTGTGCATCACACTGTTATAGGAGAATTGGGGCAACTGTTGGAGATTTTAGAGCAGCAACCAACTTACGATTAAATATTAGACATTCCCAGGCTTGAAAACCTTTCAGCCATCTCATCACCAGGGGCCTCTCTCCCTGGACACCTTTCTCTGTAGCTCCCACCTCCCACCATGCTTGGCCTCTTCTCTTAACTCTTCCCCTTTTCTGTCTAACTTCTTGCTTATATCCCAAATTCCAGTTAACTTTCTCTGTAGAGAAACTTGGTGTTGCTTTTGTCTTCTTCAAGACTTGACCTTGGGACCTCCTGTCCCACACCCAGGGCAGTTTATCAATGTGTTTTCCCCAAAATAGCCCTCTCCCTAAAAGTCTTGTGCCAGATGTTACCCTGTCCCCATGTGGTTACCTAAAGCCCAGGTCGGACTCACTGTCGCTTCTATCCAGTTCATTACAACCTGCCCTGTCTTGGCCGACCCTTTGCTCTGGGGACACTGCTGAAGACAGAAAGAACACAGGCTTTGGAGTTAAATCACTTTGAAACCCAGATGTACTACTCATCCGTTTTGTGACACCTTTTCTAGACCACGTTCCTCAGCTCTGAAATGTTGATAATTATATCTTCTAAAGGATTTGTGTGAGAGTTTGACTAGGAATATACCATGTCTGACAGATAGTAGACACCAGAAGTTTTATTTCCTTTTCATAAAATAAAATGGAGAACAGGCTTGAAAATCTCCCAAGCCAATAAAACCATTGAAGTTATGTAAGCAAAATTAAATCTAGCTTGTTTCATGAACATAAGCACAACTTAACTTAGGTTATTTCTTGTAAATGCCACAGATAATCATAAAAGAAATTTAATTCATCTTCCTTAAATGGTGTAAGATAATCACTTTTAACCAATCCTCTGTCATCTGGAAACCACCACTGAAATAACCAATCACTGTGAAGGGAAACACCTTCCTCATTTTCAGTTTATGAGCATCTCATAACCTCATATCTCTGTGCTTCATACCAGTTTGGGGTTTGAAGTACCCCTCATGGTGAACAATTTTTTTCTCACTCAATAAAATATTCACATCAAGTAAAGCTCTCTAGTTTTCTTTTAACACTTTCCTCTCTGCCAGCCTCAAACTTCAGCACTGATGAGGATGAAACTTCCCCAGCCTGGCTGGATGCCTGTTTACTTCGACCTCTGACCCCTACCTACTTGATATCTCAGCTCTCCTGGACATTGAAGATGGTCCCTGCTTTGGCTGTCATCAGTCAGCCACTCCCACTCCATGCTCCAGATGTCTGGAACTACTCAGTGTTCCCAAACTTACTTTTTCTCATCTCTGGAGTCCTGCGATGCTATCCTCTGCCTTTTCACATGGGCAGCTTCTACTCAGGCTTCACCTAAATATCACCCTCTCTTCCAGAAAACCACCCCTGATTCTCCAAGACTGAGTTGGATGTCACTACTACATTTTCCTCTAGCACCCTGTAAACATCCCCATGACGTCCCCCAGCATAGGGTTTTAAAATCACTGGTTACTTGGCCTCCCTGTAGACTATTAGCTTCCTGAGGCAGAAGTAGACTCTTTTTTTTTTTTTTTTTTTTGCGGTACACGGGCCTCTCACTGCCTTGGCCCCTCCCATTGCGGAGCACAGGCTCCGGACGTGCAGGCCCAGCAGCCATGGCCCACGGGCCCACCCTCTCCGCGGCCTGTGGAATCCTCCTGGACCGGGGCACGAACCCGTGTCCCCTGCATTGGCAGGCGGACTCTCAACCACTGCGCCACCAGGGAAGCCCAGAAGTAGACTCTTATCAACGTTTTATCCCTAGGCAGAGGCACATAGCAAGCCTTCAAGAATGTTTGTATTTTCTTTGCTTTAGGAGATAGGTCCAAAAAAATATTGCCACGATTTATGTCAAAGAGTGTTCTGCCTATGTTTTTTTCTAGGAGTTTTATGGTTTCATGTCTTACATTTAGGCCTTTAATCCATTTTGAGCTTTTTTTTTTGTATATGGTGTGAGGAAATGTTCTAATTTCATTCTTTTACATGTAGAAGTCTAGCTTTCCCAGCACCACGTATTGAAGAGACTATCTTTTTTCCATTGTATATTCTTGCCTCCTTTGTCATAGATTAATTGACCTTAGGTGAGTGGGTTTATTTCTCAGCTCTCTATTCTGTTCTTTTAATCTATGTGTTTGTTTTGTGCCAGTACCATGCTATTTTGATTACTGTAGCTTTGTAGTATAGTTTGAAGTCAGGGAGAATGATACCTCCAGTTTTGTTCATTTTTCTCAAGATTGCTTTGGCAATTCAGGGTCTTTTGTGGTTCCATATAATTTTTAATATTATTTGTTCTAGTTCTCTGAAAAATGTCATGGATATTTTGATAGGAATTGCATTAAAATCTGTAGATTGCTCTGGATAGTACGGAGGGTATTACACTTAGTGAAATAAGTCAGACAAAGAAAGACAAATACTCTGTTACTTACATGTGAAACCTAAAAACTAAAACAAATGAATATGTATAACAAAACAGACTCACAGATATAGAGAATAAACTAGTGGTTATCAGTGTGGAGAGGGGAGGGGTGAGGGGTGAGATAGGGGTAAAGGATTAAGAGATACAAACTACTATGTATAAAATAAATAGGCTACAAGGATACATTGTATAGCACAGGGAAATATAGCCATTATTCTGTAATAACTTTAAATGGAGTAAAATCTAGAAAAATATTGAATCACTAAGTCGTACACCTGAAACTAATGTAATATTATAAATCAACTATACTTCAATTTAAAAAAAATGAATATTTGTAGTTGAATAAATCCATACTGCCTCGCTTCCATGCTGTGTGACTACTCACAGTCCTGACAAGACAGACAATAAGCCTAACCTTTTAATCAGTTGACAACCATCTTTCTTCCCCCTTACCATCACTGCCCCCAACCACATATACGTTACCATAAGAATGTATTTCTCTGAGCAGTAAAGATGTAAGATCTATATTTCACTTATCGTTGATAAAAGAAGTTGTATAAAATGGATGAGACATCTAGATAAAGAACAATAAACTGTAAAAATGTTCGGTGAATGAGAGCTCAGATGCTCTAGTTAAATGGCATTTCACAATTGATAGATAACACTGGGAAGAGGGAGAAATATTTAATGAGAGATTGTGGAAAAGGCAAAAGTAAAAACACAATTTGTGAACACAGTGGTTGATGCAAGGGCTTTTCCAGTCCTACAGACAATATAATACCTTACCTTTGTTGTACTCCATGGTTAACCAGTGCTTGCATATGCAGAAGGAAAGAAATTTTCTTCCTGCCTCTCCCTTTGTTTGCCTACCTTGGAAATAGCTTCAGAGATAAGAGACATTCAGTTATGGCTCACAGATATAACTGAGCTGTCCTGCACAAGTAGTTCTTAAAACAAGTCCAGAAATTTCCAAATGGAATTAGAAGCACTGAGATCACCATGAAGATGCAAGAGAGCTAGTCAGAGATGACCAAGAAAGTGTGCTGTCCTCTCATTTGGCATCTCATGAGTAGCTCCTCAGGCCTCCTGAAAGAAAATAAATTAGAGATGCCATGATAGCTGTCACAATCCACATCTCACTAACATGCAATGTTTAAAAATTTTAAGTGAACAAATAAAATACCTTGGAACATATTCTCTGTTTCGGGGCTAAACAATTTCGTTTTAACTATATAAAATTCCAAACCAAAGCCCTTAAATGTAAACAGTTAGTAGTAAAATTGGTACAAAGTAAAGATGATCATGATTATGATTTATGGACGTACCAAATGGATTATCTTAATTGCAAAACTAGCTCAGCCTCTGATGTGGTTGGAGTCCCGGGACAGAGGTTAACAGAAAGCACCGCTGCCCACTTAGCCAGGCGTACCCTTGCTTCAGACTAGGGCATTCCTTTCGGTGGGGGGAAAGAGCTGTATGATTTCACTGGCATTTCCATATGAGAGATGACATCTAAGAGAAAGCAAGACATTTGGTTGCTTGGAGGGACTGTTCTATAGATGATTTTAGGCAAGTTATTTGCCTCTGAGGCTCAGATGCTCATTTGCACAGAGGGTAGAAAAATGAATGCAAGTATTAGAAAACAGGTCTGGCTGTTGTAACAGAAGTCAAAATACTTGTGGCTCAAAAGAGGCAGGAGTTTATTTCTCTCTCATGACACCGTCTGACCATAACCAATCTAGACTCCACAGTTTCAGGACCAGGCTCCTCCGGTCCTGTTTTGCATCTTTAACACTCAACTTTCATCTCCGGGCTAAAACTGTCTGTTCCCAACTCCTGCCTTCATGTCTGCTTTGCAGCCAGTTGGAGAGAAGAGGATGAAGCGGGGCATAATCCTTCCTTTTTCAAGGGTGCAAAAGGCACGTCACTTACATCCCTTCTGCTCACATCCCATTGGCACTTAGTCACATGGTCACATCAGTCTGTAAGATGAGCTAGAAGATGGAGTCTTTAGCTGAGGTGCCACATGCCCAGCTAAACTTTAGGACTTTCTTGCTAAGGAAGAAAGGGAGAACATATACTCAAGGGCAGCTAGCAATTGTCCTTAGCATTTCTTGTGACTTTCTGCTAAAATAATAGGTAAAACGTTTGATACAAAGTCAATGTTAAACAAAAACTTAAATCAATTTGATTTCATTCTTAATAAAGAGACATAAGTATAAAGTATACGTATATCCACACAGAGGCACACAATGTGGGTCAAATTAAGCATGGCTGAGGTTTGGAGATAAAATGACTCTCACTACATTGGCTTTCTGGCCCTGCTCAGTTTAGGCAGTGAAGGCTTCATCTATGGGCCCAGCCTTGCCCAGTTCCTCAACCACTCCTGACCAGGTTATCCCCAGTAGGCAGTCTTATAGCTAGAGCTATGTTCAGAATCAGGTGTGTCTTGGGTGAGTCCAAATTGCAGCCCACCCTTAACTCCTGATTCATCTCTTCAGTTCCTGCATCTCAGCTCCTACGGCTCTCCTTCCCCATCTCCACTTGTCCAGACATACCCATGATCAGACTGACCCAAAACATGACACAAAGGAATGTTACCAACAACGCTTTTATATACTGTTCTGCTATTATCATTACCTTTCATGCAGAGTTTCTTTTCTCCCCAAGTTCAAAGAAAACAAAAGAAAAGTAAAGGAGGGGCTTCCCTGGTGGCGCAGTGGTTGGGAGTCCGCCTGCCGATGCAGGGGACGTGGGTTCGTGCCCCAGTCCGGGAGGATCCCACGTGCCTCGGAGTGGCTGGGCCCATGGGCCATGGTCACTGGGCCTGCGCGTCCGGAGCCTGGGCTCCGCGACGGGAGAGGCCACAGCAGTGAGAGGCCTGCGTACCGCAAAACAAACAAACAAATAAAACAAAACAAAAAGAAAAGGAAAGAAAAGAAAAGAAAAGAAAAAAAAAGGATGAGATGATCAGAAGCACAGATGGTAGGAAACTATACCAGGGAGAGATGTATCCAGAATGGAAAACAAGACAACAAGAACACACGTACGGCAGTGTTGAGTGGTCACGTGGCAGTTATCCAGAAGCTCCAGATAACAATGCAGGAAAACACACGACAAGCCCTCCTACACTGCGTGGGAGGATGGAAGGTGGTGAGAGGGGGAGGAGGGGGACACGCGTCATTCCATGCTCAGATGATTCTCACTTCAGCAGGACATCCAAGGAGGACATACCCACAAACTGAGTGAAGGGCTAGTTGACCATCTGGCAAAGCTACTTTCTAACTAAGGTATTTCACTATTAACTAGGAAAATTTCTACTTAATCTATGGGGTGGCCCCCTGTAGGTAGGTAAATGAATAACATTTTATAACAGGTGTCTTTGGGGCTTTCTCTGTCAAAAATGCAATAGACCATTTAGAACAGGACTTGATAAGGGGAGAAATCTCACATGGACTCTAACAGATGAAACAAGAACATAACTAACTCCATGTGAGAGCTTCCAGGGATCTCATGGCCACTCACACTCACACACGGTTCTATAGTTGAGAAGGCTATGGACCTGCCCAGCCCATACAGACTGACAGTGTACTGACAGTGTACAAAGAGCCTTGACATGTACTTTCTCATGCCAGAGGAATCTCTTATTCTGAAAAGAAAATATCTCTTGTGGGAAATCATTAATATGTCCTTAAAACCATTTTTTATCAAAAAGGATGAGACCTGCGATGGTGAAACAAGCTCTAAGTGTATAAATAACATCATCTGACTGTTGTAGGATGACCATGTTCCTGAGGAGTTTGCAGAGTGACAAACGACTTCAGACAGACGTGTGGTCTGGCTGCACATTTTATAAGTGACTTTAGAGGAAATGTTGCTTCAAGAACGCAGGAGAGACTGCTGATCTCAATCAGCTGGGAATGAGGACAATCCTTATTGAATGAGCAGAGAACAAGGTCAGTGTTTACGAAACAACCCTTCCTATTGAGTGAGACAGCACAGGCAGCCTTGGCTGGGGAGGTGCTCCCCGCAAGTGAAGGGCTGCTCAGTTTCACTCATCAGGGCACCCCAAGCAGGGCTCAGTGTGCTCTGGAGAGGGCAGAGAGGAGCAGTCAGACTTCCCAGGTCAGGAACTAAAGCCAGGAGCCGGCAGGTGAGTGGGGGCCTGGAAGGCGGCAAGTGGAGGGGAGAAGTGCATTGCCCAAGGATTCAGAGGATCAGGGTTCCAGCCCTAGCTCTGTTCCTAGCTGTCCTGGTTGTGCCGCTTTGAGCTGGTTACTTCGCCTCTGGGATGAGCTTCAGTTTCCTCCTCTGTAGAAGCAGAGGGTAGCACTACACATTTTCCGGCTCTAAAATTCTATCGTCCAGGGATCACTACTCAAACGCCGACAGTCAGTCATGGTTCCCAACCAGAGGCAATTTGCCCCCCTCTCCCCAGGGGACATTGGCAATGTCACCACTGGTTGTCACACAGAAGGAAAAGTGCTACTTCTACTGGCATCTGGTGGGCACAGGACTGAAAAGCTCAACTACCCAGGACAACCCCCTACCAGCAAGAATTATTCAGCCCCAAATCTCAACAGTGCCAAGACTGGAAAACACGAACTGAAAGGACAGTATAATGATGAACTCATTTCAGCCAGTTATTGTCATTTTGCCAGATCTTTTTTTTTTTAAGAGAATTGAAACATTTCAGTTTTTATGTAAAATATCCCAAATTTAAAATGTCGCCACATGTTAATTTTTTTTTTTTAACAAAACACTCAGGCAGCCAAATAAAATAGGGCTTAAGGACAAATCCTGTGTGCAGGCTGTCAACCTGTGAAATCTTATGTAGCCAGCTACTGTCCAAGTAATTAGTACAGTTTAGGTGAAAACACGGATTCTTTTATCTGTGTCAGGTTATCTGAGCCAGATCCAGGCAGGTCGAGGATAATCCACAGGTGTGCTCACACGCGCGCACACGCACGTGTGTGTGTGTGTGTGTGCGTGATATCATGATAAAAACACTAAGTGAAAGTGTCCAGAGACACTTATCACCTGTGTAACTGGTGGTAGGAATTATTAAATTCTTTGAATAACAGGGTCTCCATTTTCAAGGAAGGCATCACTAGCCTTGCTGTCTACCTCTCCCGGTTGTCACAGAATGTGACCTTGAATGTACCTTGAAGCTGGAGGGAACTTTAGAAATTACCTGATATGTAATTGACTTTGCCCTTGAGCTCACAGTCAGTTAGTAGGAAGATGGGGCTCAGAAGCCCCGTGTGCTGACTCCCTGCCCTGAGTTCTTTGAAGAGAGTGACAGGCAGGAAGGTGGGGAGGGGAGAGTGCCCGATGTGTCTTCCTTCCCCACCACCCCCCACTCTTCCAGACGTGGTCCACCCACGCCTGGCCTTCCAGATGTGCCTGAGCAGCACCAGATGTGATCTGAGGATTCAGTGAGAGGGGCTGTGAAAGCGCTCGGGAGCCTGTAAACTCTTACCCTGTCTCCCAAATGCAAGGTTGGTGCCAGTGTTAATTTGTCTCTGATGTGTGACCACAGGCAGCTCTCTGGCCAACGGCAAGGCGAATGCCTGATGTTTACCCCAGGGAGGCCTAAGCCCGAGTTGTGACACTTTACCCGTCCTAGAAAAAAACAGGCAAAAGCGGATCAGCATCGTGAGTGTGAGGCCGAGAGGCGGTGGTTTTGCTGCGCCATTAGGATGTAGAGTGCAGGTAAGTTGCTGTCATTTATTAATGGGAGCTAAAGACATCAGAAGATAACTCTCCACGGCCAATCCTGGTTTCAGACAGTAAAGGGCCTTCTCCAAGCCCCTCCCCTACTTTCCTGACTGAAACCTTGTTCCCTTACATGCCCTGCCGGAGCCTTGTCCCTCTGCTTAGCTAAGAGCTTCCATCTCTCACGACGGGACACCAGGTCTCCTTTGAGACTTTGCCCTAATGCAGAGTGTGCCCTTCTGTCCTGCAGCCAAATTTCCCATCTCATGCCAGGTCAGGGTCCGACCACCCCGTCTGCTCTGATGCCGGCCAGGCCAACTGTGGTCCAGCTCTAAGTTCTTAGCTTCAATTCCATCTTTGCTGAGCACGCTTATTGCGGTTCCGTGGGAGAGGCCCGGGTTTGTGCATCAACATTCAGAGTTCTTTTCCTTCTTTACATATCCTGCTTATTTGGGGCTAAAATGTGTCCCAAGTCCATTGTGAACGTGGCTACTGGTTGTGCTGTCTGTGCAGTGGGTCAGTCAGAATGTGCTGGTGTAGCAGCTGCTTCCATGGACACGGCTACTCCGCCAGGTTTTATATTTTTTAGTGTAATGACAGAGCTTCCAGTTACTTACGGCTACGTCAGCAGCATTAGAAAGTTTGTAGCCGAGTTCTTTCTTACTGTTTTTCGTTTCTTTCACTAAAAGACTGTCTTTTGAGGCAGATTTAGGTGCACAGCGAAATTGAGAGGAAAGTACAGAGATTTCCCACATAGCCCCTGCTTCCACACATGCATAGCTTCCCTCACTGTCAACGTCTCCCACCAGAGTGGTGCATTTGCTACAACCGATGAACCTATACTGACACAACATCATCACCCAAGTCCACAGTTTACACTAAGGTTCACTCTTTGTATTGTATATTCTACGAGTTTGGACAAATATATCCACCCCTGTAGTATCATTCAGAATAGTTTTATTACCCTAAAAATCCTCTGTGCCCCACATAGTCATCCCTCCTTCCACCCTAGCCCCTAGCAACCACTATTATTTTTACTATCTCCATAGTTTTGCCTTTTCCAGGATGTCATATAATTGGAATCAAACTATATGTAGCCACTTCAAATTGGCCTTTTTCACTTACTATTATGCTTTTAAGTTTCTTTCATGTCTTTTCATGATCAGAGAGCTCATTTCTTTTTAGTGTGAAATGATATTCCATTGTCTGGATGTACCACAGTTTATTTATCCATTCACCTATTGGAGAACATCTTGGTTGCTTCCAAGTTTTGGCAATCACGAATAAAGCTACTATAAACATCCATGTGCAGATTTTTGTGTGAATATAAGTTTTCAGCTTCTTTGGGTAAATACCAAGGATTGTAATTACTAGACTGTATAATAAGGGTATGTTTAGTTTTGTAAGAAACCACCAAATTGTCTTCCGCTAAATTGTCACTTTGCATCCCCACCAGCATTTGATATCATCCGTGATCTCCACTTCGGCTATTCTAATAGGTGTGTAGTGGCATCTCATTGTTTTGATATGCATTTTTCTGATGACATATGAAGTGAAGCATCTTTTCATATGCTTATTTGCCATCTATATGTCTTTGGTGAGGTGTCTGTTAAGGTGTTTAGACCATTTTTTGCATTGGTCATTTGTTTCTGATTGTTGAGCTTTAAGAATTCTTTATATATTTTGGACAGAATTCCAGCCACATGTCTGTAACTGTGAGATGGCAGTAAAGAAGGACATGACACAATTAAAAATAGAACTATCATATGATAATCCAGCAATCCCACTTCTGGGTATTTATCCAAAAGAATTGAAATCAGGATCTCACAGAGATACTTGCACTACCATGTTCACTGCAGCATTATTCACGGTAGCCAAGATAGTGACAACCTAAATGTCCATTGACAGATGAATGGATAAAGAAAATGTGAGATATACATAAAATAAAATAGTATTCAGCCTTTTTAAAAAAGAAGGAAATCTTACCATTTACAACAACATGGATAGACCTGGAGGACATTATACTAAGTGAATTAAGTCAAGCACAG